ATGTGCCAAATTCTTAAGCTTCAGAGGGCAAGGGGCAAGAAGACAAATGCAAAATAAAGTACAGCTTTCAGAAATCTCATCAGCTAAACAAATAAAAATTGAAGTTTAGGGCATACTAAACAGAAAGTCTCCTAATAAAACCAAAATGTGTATGTACTTTACACACACACAGAGTTCAATCCAGCAAACAGAATGGCAACACCACCTCAAGTTATTCAGCTCTAATCGGACTAAGGTAACCTGCTTTACTCAAACTGGCAATTTAAGAATAGGTTGAATCCTCTATGGAGGAAAAAACATCACCAGGAATTCCATAATTGTTTGCTCACCGTGTCCAGTATTCAATGAAAATACCATATATTTCAAGAAACAGAGCCAAAGTGAGGAAAGCAGACAATAGAAAGAGGATCACATGTGATAAAGACATGCAAGTATCAACGTCTGTAAAATAACTATGATTAATAATTAATACAATGAGCACTTAATAATATGTTCAAGAAATTGGTGACAAGATGGAGAATTCCACCAAAGAACTTGAATCTATTAAAGAGCAACAAATCAGGGGAGGGGTATGAAGTTTTTGGAATGGCAGAGTAAGGACCTCTGAAAGTCTGTTTCTCTATAAAAGCTGTGAGAACACTGGCAATAAAAAATAAAAAGTCAAAGCAATTCTTTTGCAACTCTGGAAATTAACTAAAGGCATGTACAACATAGGAGTATTTAGTCAAGAAATATGAATAAATCTTGCTAAGAATGGTTAGCTTTTAACTTGCTCTAATCCCTTATTTATCCCTTCTGCTCCAAGAATGATTTGAAAACCAAGAGCTTTACAACTAAGGTATCTGTGCAAAGCAGTAGCCTACAGCCACTATTAAGGGGCAGAACAGGTACACCAAAACCCTATTCCCAGAAAATTGTCATTATTTGACCTGTTTGGCAGCTAGCTCACTGAAAAGCTCCAATCTCAAGGCTTGTCTTTATTTAACCTGACTGATGTAAACCTTACTCTCTATGAGTAGTCTTATTTCCAGGGCACTTGTTAAAAATAATCAGTTTAACGATCGTTTAATATTGCAACTGCCTGAGGTGATATGAACTATTGAAGCTGACCAAAACTTTTTAAATAAAATAAATGAGGGAATGGGATGACTGTGGGGGCTTTGCAAAGCTCAAAAATATTCTCGACAGTCTAGAAAACCATACACAGGTGCAGAGCTGTGCATATACCCAGGAGAGAACTGAGAAGGTCCCAATCTAACACCTCTGGCTGACTTGGAGGCTCTGAACAAACAAGAAGTGAATACTCAGGCAGAGTTGTAAACTGCCTGCTGGACCATTGAAAACATGTCCCAACACAAACACAGAGCACCTTTGCAAGGGCTACCAGACATATTGGTTCAGGGTATTTAGGGAAAATCTCTCTTCAATCATTAGCTGATAATTAAGCTAACTGAACATATTCTTCAGTGGCCAGGTACAACAAAGGATTCAGACTCAATATAATTAATTCAAGAAAGTCCCTAAACAAGCAAACAGCAATAGTAACAACAACAAAACAATAAAAAACAACAATGAAAAAATCCTGGGGTGGAGCTGCCACATTATATTATTTTAAATGTTCAGTTTTCAACAAAAATTATAAAACATACAAAGAACTAGGAAACTATGGCCAATACACAGGGAATAAGAGCAATCATAGAAACTCTAAGGGAGCTCAGACATTGAACTTAGACAAAGACTTTAAGTCAACTATTATACATCTGTTCAAAGAATTGAAAGAAATAATGTGTAGATTATTAAAGGAAAGTATGAAAAAGATGTATCACCAAATAGAGGGTATCATTAAAAAGAGAAGTTTTAAAAAATAACAAACTAGAAATTATGGATTTAAAAAGTACAGTAACTGAAATGAAATATTCACATGAGAGGCTCAGTGGCAGAAGGGAACTGGCAGATAAAAGAATCAGTAAACCTGAAGGCAGATCACTGAAATGATCTAATCTGAGGAAAAAAGAAAAAGGAATGAAAAATGAATGGAGCCTCAGAAGCCAGTGGGACAGCATATAAATGTATATTGGGAGGTCCAGGAGGAAAGAGAGGGAGAAATGCATAAAAAGAACATTTAAAAAATAATGGCCAAAGATATTTCAAACACGATTTTTTTAAAAAATGTTACTCTATATACCCAACAAGGTCAAACAATTCTGAGTAGGATAAACTCAAGGAAATTCACACCTAGAACAATCATACTTAACTATTGAAAGACAAAGAGAATTTTGAAAACAAGAGAATGTAACTCATTGTGTACAAGAAATTCTGAATGAGATTTAGGATTAACAGCTGATTCCTCATCAGAAAGCAGGGAGGCCAGAAAGCAGTGAGATGGCATAATTCACAAGTGCTGAAGATAAACAGAATTTATATCAAGAAAAAATCATCCTTCAAAAACAAAGGAGAATCTAAGACATTCCCAGACAAACAAATACTGATTCATAACCTGCTAAAGGGAGTCCTACAAGCTGAAATGAAAAAATAGCAGACTATAACTCAAATCCTTGTAAAGAAATAAGAGCACTAATAAAGACAACTATATAAATATTAATGACAGAATAAGTATGTTTTTGTTTCCATCTCGTATATGATCTAAAAGACAAATACATAAAGCATAAATTTAAAAATTGTGTCTATGACCTGATAACATATAAACATATGACAATAGAGTATACAAAGGAGGGAGGAAGGAATGAAGCCAGGTTTTGTATACCATGAATTAAATTAATATTAATATGAACTAGATTGCTTTAAGATATTAATTTTAATCTCCAGTTCAACTACAAAAATAACTTAAAATATACATTGTAAAAATGACAACAACAACAGAGGATTAAAATAGTATATTGGAAAATATCTATTGAGCACAAAGGAAGGTATTAATGGAGGAATAAAGGAACAAAGGCATAATACATACCAAAAACAAATAGAAAAGTGGCAGTGATGAATTCTACCTCTCTGGTATTTACATTAAATGTAAATGGACTAAATACTCTAATCAAAAAGTCAAGATTTGTAGAATAAATTGTTTTTTAAAAAAATCCAACTACATGTTGTCTCCAAGAGACACACTTTAGATTCAAAAACACAAATAGGTTGAAAATGAAAACTTGGGGGGGAAATATACCATTCACACAGTATCCAAGAGAGAACTGGAGTGACTATAATGAAATCAGACTAAATAGACATTAAACAATGAGATACCACTTTACACCCACCAGGATGGCTATAGTTAAAAACAGGAAATGAGTTTTGGTATGTATACAGAGAAACTGGAACCCTCGTACACTGCTCGTGGGGATGTAAAATGATGCAGCTGCTTTAGAAAACAGTCTGGCCATTCCTCAGCTGGTTAAATATAGAGTTACCATATGATCCAACAATTCTACTTCTGGGTATACACCCAAAATAAATAAAAACACATGTCTACACAAAAAACATGTACACAAATAACATATCATTATTTATAATAGCCAAAAAGTAGAAACAACCAAAACGTTTATCAACTGATGAACACATAAACAAATGTAGCTTTTCCATACGTTGGAACATAATTACAATAAAACCAAATAAAGTACAGATTCATGCTACAACATGGATGAAGTCTGAAGAAAAAAAGAAAAGATAAGTGAAAAAAGCAGGTCACAAAAGACCACATGATTTCCTTTATATTAAAAGTCCAGAATAGCCAAATCCACGGAGACAAAGTAGATAGTTATCCAGAGATGGGAGGTGGCAGGGGGTACAGGGATAAGAGTTGGGGGAGGGAATGGGAGTGATTGCTAATGGGTACAAGGTAGTTTCTTTTTGAAGTGATAAAAATGTTGTGGAATTAGATAGCGATGATGGCTGTGCCAGTGTGTGATTATACTAAACATCGCGTAATTGTACACTGCATAATAGTGCATTGTACAGTAAATGTATTCTATCTTAATAAAACTAGTATTTAAAAAATGTCAACTAGTGGGAGGGGGGAGGTTAGGGTGCAGGGACTGAGCAAAAAAGAAAAAGGACTCCTGGACATGGACAACAGGGTGGTGATTGCCAGGGGGAGGGGGTCTAAGGGGACTAAAAGGTAAAGTAAAAAATACAATAAAGATCAAATAATTAAAAATAAATAAAATTTAAAAAATAAAAGTAAAAACTAAATGGAAATTCTAGAATTGAAAGGTAGAATTATCAAAATTAAAAAGAAAATCAATCAATGAGTTTATAATATACTGGCATAGGTCCAAAATAGTATATACCAGCAAGAAATGATGGAGCTACAAGGAGAAATAAATGAATTCACAATCATAATGGGAAAGTAATATACCTCTCAGCTGAACAGATTAAGAAATCAGTAAAAATATAGAAAATATGAACATGATTATGAGCTAGATTCAATGAACATGTAGATATAGGTCACTGCACCCAACAACAAAATATACATTATTTTCTGATAAACTAGGACATTTACCTCATTGACTATACGTTGGATAATAAAGTATCTCAACTAGTTGCAAAGGATTGAAATCATTAAGGGTATGAACAGATGAGCTTCCCATCTTTGTCCAGGTAGAGTCAAACAGGCATGTTTCCTCCCCGTCTGCCAGTATATTTTCTCTACTAGGTGTCAGTCCCAGCTCCAGTTTAGATCACCTTTTTTTTTTTTAAAAAAACTATTGCCACTCTCTCTTTTTTAATCTACTTCTAATTAAATTATCTAATCGGCATATCTTTGTAAGCCCATTTAACTCATCTTTGCAGGAAGATATAGAAGCAACAAAATAAATGGAAAGAACTATTTTAAGTGCACATATTGAATTATTTACCCTATGTGTGTAGAATCACATTTGTAGCATATTCTAGACACAAGATATAAATTTGCAAATTTCAAAATGCAGTAATTACCCCTAACATGCTATTTTAGGTTTCCTTAGGAAACAGCACCACGTGGCATAACTCACCTACCCCAGTAGTGTGATCTCCCTTTGGTCCTGTGTAGGAGGTGGGAGTTTCTCCTCTCCTCCTATGCCAGCTGCTCCGGTTCCTTCTCTCCTGAGTAAATGCACATTCATCTTGTTCAAAAGTGCACTCTCCAGGTGCAGGTGAAAGCTTTTCTGCAAGGAAATAGCCAGTGTTGGGATTAGTGAGGCACCTTCAATGAGTATGTATCGCATGGCTCCCTGAGAGCCTGCTCTGCATGTATGAGTGCCATCGGGCCATATGCCATGCAGATGAAGAGGGAGCCCCTCACCTCCCGGCAGCCCTCCAGCTGTTGCCTCTAGCTAGAGCTTAGACTCCACCATGGGCCCTGCCCTTAGAGTCAGAGAACAATCAGACATCTAGACCCAAAAGTATCTGTCTGCTGTGAGAGAGAAACTTCCTCTGACTTGTGAATTTGTTCAGGTGAACGCATTTACAAACTCTGTAAATTGGAGGTATATTGCCTTTATGGAAATATGGAAAATAATTGAATGCACAATGCAGGTGCTATCTTCAGAAATCCAGGATGAGTGAAGAGAGTCCTCAGAACAACTCTATAGTTGCTCTGGAGGAGAGGAAGAATGTGAGAGAACTAAATGTGCTTCTAGAGGCATAGCTTAATTTGTATGGAGCAGATTACTCAATGTTTCTATGCAACAGCGTTTTTATCTGTAATGTCGGGATATTAATTACCCACCTCATAGGGTTGTGAAGATTAAATGAGGTGATATAGGTCAAGTTTTTAGAACATGGAGTTCTCAATAAATATTAACTAAATTAATATTAAAATTTGATGTTTTCTATTTGAAACCTTATTTTTCATTTCTAAAAACAAATTTTATGACTTTGGATGCTATCTTAAATAATAATTATTATCATTGGAATGGTGCTATCTCCCAACTTACTTGGGACTTCTCCTTTGGCTGAACTTGGTTGTACCTTCTCCATTCAGATTCTTAGCAAATTTCTCTAATAAATAGGCTATAATTCATATCTCTTGCATGATAATTATTTTACTTTATTTTATTTTACTTACAGTACAAGCTAATGAAGCCTCATTCCCTTTTCTACACCATGAGTGTAGAGATTTTGATCTTATTCTTCCTTGGTTTGTCCTTGCAGTGCCCTGAAAGTCAAGCAACTAAAAACAAATCATCTTTTAATCAAATAAACATGGAGATTATTCTCCAGTGCCAGATTGCTACCACCATTTGCCTGTTTGTTAAAGAAATGGATCCCCCATGATTTAAGATGCAGTGGTAATTAGTAGATACAGACCAATGATTTGGTTTGAGGTATTCATCCTTTTCCTCATTACACATAAGGTCCAGCACAATGCCAGCACCTTTATTTTGTCACTATCGTCAACGCTTCATCCATTGTTCTGTTGTCATTTAACTCACTGAGAAATTGTCTATTTTATTATCATTTTAAAATTACAGGGTAGAGCAAAAGGAGGTTTACAGTTGTGAGTATGAGAAACAGTTTACTATTGTATTATTATTTATTATTGTATTATTTTCCATACAAACAACTGTAGACCTATTTTTGCTCTACCCTGTATATGCTTAGTATACTATCTGTAGAATAACAATTTCATCACTATTGCTTGAAAATCTGCATTTGTGTAAGACAACAACAATAAAAATATCAATAGTAATCATAACAGGAGGTATTTGTTTTTAAAGCACTGTTTTGTGCCAGGGCCTATGCTAGAGAACTTCTATGTACTATCCCCAGTATTCAGGTAGGTATTACTACTTCTCTTACAGATGAGGATACAAGGGTCAAGTCACATGGACAAAGTCACACATTGCACTTGAATCTTCTTTTCTAAATCCCACAGCTCTGTAGAAAGGCACTTCCGGCAAGAAAAGCCAAGGATAGGCTAGCACAGATTATATGCATGTTGTACGTTCTTAGAGAAACAGGAAATGTCTTGTATAGGCCAGGAAGACAAGAGAGCTGAAATGATGTTGTCTCACCTGGAGACCAGCAGCTTCCCAATTCTACTGTAATGTCATCCAGGGCTACAAGTCCACAGTCCCAGAAGCTTTTGCATAGGCTCATGAAAACCACCTGCAATTCAGAAAAATAAAACTATGAATTCTGTTCACTAAAAATGGGAAACTACAGTCGAGGATTTACTTAGCACAACAGGCATACATAAACAAATTGCAGACACCTTTTCATTGTCCATATAACAACAGATCACAGTGGCATAAGCAATGGAGAATCATTTATAGATGACCTTGGAATTACTTCTATTAATTTTTGAAGCAGAGTCAATCCCATGATATGTTGTGTACATTAATGCTGAAATTAGTTTGTGTTCTTTAAAGAATTGAGAGGGGGAAAGAAGAAGTTAACTGGGTGGCAAAGGAAAGCCCATTAAGTTGTAAATATTTTCCCCAGGTAATCTATAAAGTGCATACATAGTTAATGGTGTTCCAAGCATTTTTACAAACAATTCCAGTACAAACACCATTGATTTTTTGGAAATGACTTTCTGGCACTATGCCTCATCCATATTGTGAATGAAGTCCCCGGTCCCACTGATTTCCCATCTGGGGACTTACGTTCCATTCTTGCCCCACCCTCCGCAAATATCTATGTTCCTCAGATGGTACTGCTAATAAAAGCCTAAATGCAGTTATTTTTTTAGACCATTTTTTACTGTTGTATGTAAAGGAAGAACAAATATATATTATTTTTATTAAATTCATTCTGCAAGAGAGAAAATAAACCTTGGATTTGTTTTCATTAGATCAATTTAAAGGCTACTTTTCATATATAGGAGATATAGCACTTTTCAAAACATTTAGTTTTCCACTGTACTTTGTGGTTTACAAAGCTGCTTGGCACGTATAACCTAATGTTTAATTAGGACAAGTTTATCTGATGCACATTCAATTTCTCAAATCCAAGTCTTAATTCAAAGACAAAGAAAGATATAAGAGAAGCTGAAACCAAAATTATAAACAATGAGAACATCTGATTTTTTAGGTTATAATATTCAGTGGGTTATATCTTAAATTCATCTGTGTTATCAGTAGGATCCCTTAGTTCTTTGAAGTTGACAGCCATCAGAATATAAAATTTCTTTAAAAAGAAATTTTAAAAATCACATGACAGTTTGCCAGTATGCAAACATAGAGTGTCTTAAGTCAAGATCTTCAGCGTAATTATTAATTGTAAGATGTGTGAAAGTTTACTTGGACTATATTTGCATTGTTTCAAATTATAAAAAGGATTGTTTGGAGATGTGACACTATATAACTATATACATTTAAGGAAGAAAATTTAGCCCTGTTCATTTTCTCATCTTTAGAGATTCTAGAGTCTGCAAATTATCTGAACACGTAAAATATTTTACTTGCAGGATTTATGCCTGGGAACTTATTTGCAAAGCAAAGGTCTGTGTCATCAACCCTGAATGCAGTTATATTTTATTAGGAGTTTTTATTATTATATGAGAAGGAACAGTAATCTTTCTCATAATTTATTTAATTAATTATGTTGTAGAGATAAAAGGTCTTAGCTTCCTATCCTTTTGGAGGCTATAAAGTCTATTTTTCACAAGAATAGTGAGAAGTACTTTTTCAAAATGAATCTATGGTAGTGAAATGATTCATCATTACCTGAATAAAAGTCAAACATTTGGCATGTAAATGTATCTGAAGAGAATTTTATGACCATAAAACCAAACAAATGAAACAATCTAAAAATTTCAAAAACAGAGGAAATAAACTGTGCTACCACAATCTAAGAAATAGGCAATCATAACCTCTGATAGCTTGTAAATATTATTTAATAATACAGAAATATATTTCTCTCATAATGTTAAGTGAAAAAAGCTGGATTATAATAGATAAAATATCTAACTCATCTAAAAATACATAGGAAAAAACCTTGAAAATTGACCAAATTCATAACAATTATGTTAGGCTTATGAAATTAAGACTAGTAAATAGAATTTTCTTTTTTCTAAACATTCTGTAATTTTGTTATTTTATAATTTTTTTAAAAAAGAAAAAGGACACAGGATATCTATAAGTAAGATGTGGAATGAGTATGTGTTTCCTTGATTGGCGTTTATTATGATAATGACTAAGACATGTGGCTACTTAACTTATAATTAAGTAAAATTAAAAATGCATTTCTTCAGTCACACTAGTCACATGTCAAGTGCTCAAGAGCCACATAGCGCTAGTGGCTAACTGAATTGGAGACAGAAGATACACATTTCCTCATTGCAGGAAGTTCCATTGGATAGAACTTCCTGGCTCCTTCTGCACATTCCAAACAATCTGTGACCTGCCACAGTGGGTTTAGTGAAATGCTGAAGATGTTCTGGATAACCGTAGGCCTCTAGGTTGTCCTTAGAACTCTTTCCATACGTCGATTACTAGCCACACCACATGTTGTTCCGTCTGATGAAAGATCCTCAGTCAGTCAGCTATGGGCTAAATTCAAACTGTGGCTTCCAACCTCAAATCTGGCAGTTGTCTATCAGCATTCCAAAGCACAAAAGAAACACAAGATCAGCTTGTTTGGTTGAACACATTGGATTTTTCCACTCTGCTATTAATAATGCCGATAGTGTTAGCTCCTATCCTTGTGCCACCATCTTACACTGTGAGGGCTACTTGATGTGGAAAGGTTATTTTAGGGTAGTTCGTGACATAGCAAGCTGTTGATGGGGTCTGGTTGACACGGGACAAAGGGAAAGCCAAACATCTTGGTCTGTTCTTAAGAACTCTGTCCCTGGGCCCAGTTAAGAATGTGACATGAATGGAATTTGCCATAGTCTAAATTCTTGAGGAAATAACCTCTTGTTTATTTATAAATCTTCTTAAAAAAGGGTGTTAATTTCATTTTAGGCAGTAGTTCAAAGCAAGTGGGATATCACTAAAGATTGGGGAAAAGTCCTAGGTAACTTGAGTGTATATTAGTATCTCTTTGAGAGGGGAGAAAAGGAGGAATAAAGTAAAATGATATCCCTTAGACAGGTATTCCTGATTTTATGCAAATTTCAATTTGTTTCAGTGTACTAAACGTTCCAGTTTTTAGGTACCGGTGATACTTTAACATTTTGTTTGACAGAGAATATTTATTATTGAGGAATATTACCTAGACTAACTTTGGAAACACAAATAGGCAATGAATGGAGAGCTATAGAAACATATTTGCAAATACTTTAAATACAATCACGTAAGGATCAACTATATTACTTTTCTTTTATTATTCTAAAAGTAGGCATTATACATGCCCATTTTTCTACAGCAGGGTATTCCAATCTCAGCATTTTTGATATTTTGGTCCAGATAATTTTTCATTGCTGGGGATCCCCCTGTACATTGTAGAATGTTAAGCAGCAACCCTGGTCTCTGTCCAGTAGATACCAATACCACTCCGAACTCATAACAATCAAAAATGTCTCCAGCATTGTCAAATGTTCTTTGGGGGTGGAGGCAAAATCTATTTTGCCTGAGAATCACTGGCCAAGGGTGGTAGAAAGTTTTCTGCTACGTGGATTATAAAACCCCGCTTACTAGATTCCTATTCTGTGTTCTCCCTGCGCTGAGCCCCTTCAGATCCGTTACCTCATTCTCGGATTCACTGTCAGTTCCAACCTATCTATTCTCCCAGGTCAGAAGAGGACAGCTGTTTCTGTTTTAAAAGTGGACTAGATTGAATTAGTTTTGTCTCCTGGACATCAGTGGGTGGTGGTTCAGATAAGGAATGAAATACCTTCAAGCCCTGGAAACAAAAGTCAAAGGAGTAAAAAAGCAAGGGAGACGCACTAACCCTCCAAATGAATAATCAATCCTCCCTGAGATTAGCAAGGCTTTACTGCTCTGATTTCCTGCTTCGGAAAACTGCACTTTGTCAAGGGGCAATAGAATCTTTTCTCTGTTGTCATCTTTCTCCCTTTTTACAAAGAATGATCTACTTCTTCAAAACAACATAATCCCAAAAAAGTAACTGAGCAAAGTTTCCTCAGCATATATAATTTTAACTCTTTTCTAAAGTTTTTTTGGGGTGCGGGGGAAGCAGTGGGATGGATAGAGGGTTTGTATAGAAGCCCAACCACAAGACTGTGCTAATCAGAGGGGCTAGACTGTCCCTAGATGAGTAAAAGTGCATAAAAGTTAAAGCACCTAGGGGAAAAAAATAGAGAAGCAGGCACATCAGAAACTTATTTTCCCAAACCAAGGCAGGTTGGATTTTTTAAAGAATTGGGGTTACTGATTTTAACTTTATGAAGTCTCATAGTTTAAGGTAGAAATACCCAACACAATGAATAAAATTTTTCTGAGGGAGGGAGAAGTTTTGCAGGGAGCTGTAGAATAAACAAACACAAAACTTTGTACTGCAGTTAGAAAGCATCATCTGTGTAAAAGAACTAAACACTGGCTGCATCAACTGGTTTTTCACTGTATTTTTTTCACTGTCTTTTAAAGTAGTTTCCATAGCCTGGAGGATAGACGTAGTTGGGTTAGTCTACCACCTACTTTACCAACTGAATAGTCCCAGTGAGACCTATAATTAGCATATGAATGATAGTTTCCAGAAATGGCCTTCTGCCTTCACATAGGAACATTCAATCCTATGCCAACAATACCATAAATTACCCGTGTTCAAAAAATGAACCTAGTTAGGTCCTTATTACAAGGAGTGGACCTCAACAATTTACCAGAGGGTAGATTTTGGGTTAAATTTAACTTTTTTTCTGATGAGGTTAAAATCCTTTGAAATCACCAGCACAGATAAATTTGGATACAGCAACTATGGAGTAGGTGGAATAATTCTTCACAAAATAACTATAATCCTGTTAGTGAAATTCTTGACTATACCCTGTTAGTGAAATTCCAGAGCTTTTCATAAAGATGCTATTGACACAATTGCAGGATATACTATATAATGCGATTGCAGTCATTTAACTACTTGACAATTAAGTTGCAATAGAATTTTAAAAATAGAAAAACACAAAGCAAAACAAAACAAAAATTCAAATATTAAGGCACTTGACCAAAGGGTCAAAACTTTCACAATACCCTAAAGACAGGCTGAGT